TTTTGTTAATAGGATACTTACTCTTTAATAATATCTGTATTACCTTTTTCTTTCCTACTTAAACACTGTTAAAATTCTCTTATAATCATACCTAATTTTCCCTTTACTCCCAACTACAAATAACAAACTAGTGTATGTTCCTACTACACTACTGTGCAATACCTTGAACCATCTCTCACTAGCTAGTTTCAACTACCTCAAATAATATTCCTATAGTGATATTAATTGCTCAAACTTTATGCTATAAGGCAATTCCTACTCTCAGATTATTTTCATATCTTAGTGACTATATTGTGTGTGCAATTAGTGTATATTTCAATTACACTATTGTTCAAGGCCCAAAACTATCTTTTGCTGCTACTACCAACTACCTCATATTATATTTTACTTTTTATAGTACAATAAATTGCTCAACTTCTTATATATAACAAACCAGATCTTATTCACAAATCAATATCATATCTTAGTGACTATCTGCCAATTTAACTTTGTTTACCATTATTTAATTTAGTCCCTATATATTTTCTCCTTTATTTTATCTTTACATAACAATCTTAGTTCATATATTTCACAATTGTTAAAATAATCAAGGTGCTATTCTCAGGTGCTAAAGTGTAATAAGTTCACTATTTTGCCATTATATTCCCAAGCTCATTTATTTGATTACCACTTTATTTGTTCACCACAAAGTTTTTTTTAAGTCCCTTTTATATTGTCTCCTTTATTTTAGCTTTAAAGAACTACCTTAGCTCAAATTTTTACATTTATTAAAATAACTCAGGTGCTATTTTATAGCTTTAGAATATTTACTTTTCTTATACTTATTACTACTATAAATCACTAATAAATCTTATGATAACAGCAGTTGGACTCTGAGAACCAAACCTCTTTATAATGACTTAAAGATCAAACAGTAACTGTAATTACTACACAGCAGAACATATCAAAGCACTGTCTCAGAGCAACAAAAAAATTAAAGTTTTTTACTAGCATATATCAATCTATTAAGTAAACAATTCGTATACCTCATAGCATTACTAAAATTCCCGATGCCAGTATATCCATCATTACTCTCACCAAAACCTGGCTAAAGCCTAATACTACAGATGTCTATGCCATTCCTGGTTACACAGCTATATACTACTCAAACCAACTAGAATGTATCACTAATACTTGCACAAGTGATGAACATGGAGAATATATAATAGCTAAATTCAAATCCAAATACCTACAAAAACCTCTCACAGTGATAAACATCTACAGAGTACCACAGTCAAACATTAGCCATTTTAGTGAAAACCTAGGAAGTATGATAACTGATGCACGCATTAACAAAGATCACTTACTACTCTTAGATGACTTCAATATAAATCTCCTACAAGACCAGGACCCACACGTTACTGAATTCACAAACACTATGAGTAACTGCATGTTGCTACCAGCAGTAACAAAACTTACAAGAGTTACAGAAACTAGTGTTTGCCTACTAGACCACATCTGGACCAACACCACATCCCTTTTAAAATCAGGCATAATCACAGATAATACCATAGATCACTACCCTACCTTCATCACAAATCTTGGCAAATTACCCCAAGACACTACTAAAGTCACTTTCAGAATTCACAATGAGGCAGCCATTAATAACTTCACAGCAGCAGTGACAAACATTGACTGGCACACTGAGCTAGAAATCTATACATATATCTATATTGACGAATGTATTAATAATTTTCTAAAAAAGACCCAATACCTCTATAACAAGCACTGCCCCCAAAAAACTAAACAGATGACAGCTAAGAGACTGAACAGTCCCTGGCTATCACCCAGCATCCTCAAATCCATAAATACAAAGCACCTATACAAAAAACAGTACAGAATGGGTCACATAACCAGAGACCAAACAAAACGTTACTTGTCAATCCTAACCAGCCTGATAAGAAGGGCTAAAAAACTGTATTATGAGAACAGATTATCCAACTTACGAGGTGATATAAAAAAGACCTGGAAAACCCCATCAGAATTCTAGGAACAAAAAAGATATCACGAAATAGCGAAATTGAATTAACAAAACCAGATGAACCCCAACTCCCGCCAACTGAAACAGCAAACAGACTCAATAATTTCTTCTCCACTATAGGAAAAAACATTGCCAATAAAATCTCAAGCTCAGATACCCCACCCAATGACTACCTCACTGGCAACTACCCGAACACACTGTTCCTAGCTCCGACTAACCCTACTAAAGTCTCCCTTATTATCAACACACTAAAAAACAAGACAGGAGATTTAAATACCTTACCACTCTTTATATACAAAAAAGCGTCACAAGTACTATCACCAATCATTGCAACACTCTTTAACAAATCCATAGAATCCTCTACCTTCCCTACAGTTCTCAAAATAGCAAGGGTCACCCCGATCCATAAGGGAGGAGACCAAACAGACTTGAATAACTATAGGCCAATATCCAACTTACACCCTCTCTCTAAAATCTTTGAAAAATTAATTCATAAGCGAATCTATTCCTACCTCATCTCCCACAACATACTCAGCCCCTGTCAATTTGGGTTCAGGCCTAATAAAAATACTAATGATGCTATTATACACATGCTAGAACACATATACACCGCAATAGAGAAAAAAGAAGTCCCACTGGGGATCTTCATTGACTTACGTAAAGCTTTTGATACAGTTGACCATGACTTGCTCCATATAAAATTGTCACACTATGGTATAACAGGGCACTCCCTCAACAACCTAAAGTCTTACCTCAGCAACAGAAGCCAATGAGTACACAAACGGGGCAAACTCTTCCACACAACCAATTACAATTGGTATCCTACAGGGAAGTGTCCTAGGCCCTCTTCTCTTTCTCATATACATAAATGACCTTACCAAATGCATCTCAACTACTCAAACCCACACTATTTGCAGATGACACTACATATGTCTTCTCTCACCCGAGCCCAGTCACGCTAGCCAATACTGTAAATACCGAATTACAGAAAAGATCTACCTGGATGAGTACTAACAAACTTACTCTAAACATTGATAAAACCTACTTCATTCAGTTTGGTAACAGAGCTACAGACGTCCCTCTTAACATAATGATAAACGGATCACCTATCACAAAACTCACAGAGGGAAAATTCTTAGGAATGCACCTTGATAATAGACTCAAATTTCAAACACATGTACAACAAATTTCCAAAAAAATTTCCAAGACCGTAGGCATACTATCGAAGATATGGTACTATGTTCCACAGTCAGCTCTCCTGGCCCTATATCACTTACTTATTTACCCCTATCTCACCTATGGAATTTGTGCATGGGGCTCAACAACAATAAACCATCTCAGATCATTAATTACCCAACAAAAGGCTGCAGTCAGAATGATAACAAATTCCCACTACAGGCAGCACACTCCACCAATATTCAAAACTCTAAACCTACTCACCATACAAAACATCCATACTTATTACTGCACCTACTACTTACATAGAACAATTAACTCGGATGTAAACCCTCCCCTCAAACTTCTTACCAACCTCAACAGAACACATGACCATAACACAAGGCACAGATCACTCTTTGATGTTCCTCGTGTCCATCTCACGCTATGCAAAAACTCAATGCACATAAAAGGCCCTAAAATCTGGAATTCACTACCTGTGAATATAAAAGAAACACTGTCTGTTTATAAATTCAAGTCTCTTCTCAAAAATCACTTACTCACCCACAACTAAATAAATACTGAATAATTGTATCTCATAAATTTTATCTCATGTTTCTCATTATTGTATCTCATAAATGTCTAACCTGTGACCCAATCAAACTTTTTTTTTTTTAAATACATTACGTAACAGAAAACTCCATTCTACTGAATGCACAGCAACACAGTAAATGACCATATGACCTGTCTTTGTAATACTCATTTGTGCTAAATTGTTATCTGTTTACAATAATGTTTTTACCACTGAATATATCATTGCTTAGTTAATCTTAAGTTAATTTTAAGCCTGCCCATAATGCTCTGCATACAAGGGGCTTTGGCATGTTGCACTGTAATAACTGTATTCCTTTGTAATCACTGTATCATGTTCAAATAAATAAATAAATAAATAAATAAAATAAATGTATAGCCCCAAAACCAAAGGGAACACTGGACAAAACATGGGGCGGATGAGAGAAAACAGTACAACACTTCCTCTCGCCACGGCAGCCAAGTGAGCAATGATAAGTCACTGTGAAGTGTGGCAGCAGGCTGTGACATCACACTAACGGCTGCTACCCAGCAGAACGCACTGACGAAGAGAGACCCCCCTGTATGTTAGGTCTTTGATTTTCATCACAGCATTATGCCGGGGCACTCACCCAGCATAATGCCGTGACGAGCACTGTAGGTGTGGTGAATTTGGTGTCACACCTATATAAACATACATTGAATCTGTATTGACACACATTACCCATATATAACATCGGTTTTAGGTGAAAATGAAACTGCTGTAGAATTAACCCTATGAACATGTTAATACTAAATATTATTTAGTTAAAAATATTTACAGTGAGAATGTGTAAAAGTTAGAGGAGAGTAATAATAGCACCTTAAGGAGTAACTATGAGAAGAAATTTCTTCCACACTAAGATGAAGACCAAATAATCTACCTTTATTTCATAAAATAATTTTTTAACTGGGAGTGGTATGTGTATACTGCCTGAAAGCTTGTAAACTTAAGTACTGAAACTAGATTATGGAGAAAAAAGAGCTGATACAGTCAGTAGTAAAAGTAATCATCTTTGAATAACCTTAACTATCAACAATCAGAAGTTTTACTTTATCTAAATAATGTTACATGATTATTTCCCAGTTATAATACATTTTAAACTTTCTGACAAATACAAAGCAAATTCATTTGTTGCAATATTTGATTAGTTCATTCATATATAGTAAGTCCCAATGTAAAAACTTTTGCAATTAGATTAGATTCTGAGCTTACCAATGCTGCTGCCTTGACTAATTCTCGTTTGTCCCGTGCTGATGACTGATCCACACCAACACTTAGATGGAACAGTGCCAGAGGAACAGAGAAGGCAAAACTTGGCAGCTGAAAAATACACCACTTTCATGTTATATTTGTTAATGATCCTGCAATAGCTAGTGCATGCAGTCCCATGTAAATACCACAGCCCAGATCAACACCTGTCTAGAGGAATGGGTCAAGCTTCTTCTGGAAGACAGAGGCCAATTAACCCTTTCACTGTTCAGACCCCTGATCTGAAACTTGCCCACAGTGTCCAAGAATTTTCAAAAAAAATTTTTGCTATTTTTTCTTATGAAATGGTAGAGAATCTTTTTCTGAAGGTAATAAAACAAAAAGTATGAAATTAAAAAAAAAAAATGATGAAATTATGCTTTCACGAATTTTGCTGTGGCAGCAACATTTACGTATTGGTGATTTTGCGCACTTGAGTCCTATTTTAGGTCAATTACATTGTTTCAGTTGACCAAATTCTTAGCTATTTCACTAGTATGTCTTCCATTTTATCACTGGGCACAAGAAATGGCCCAGTCAACTATTTCAACTACCTAATTAAGTGATCAGAAATTGGTAATTTGGCAAATTTCACACAAATTTTAAAACATTCCAATTTCAAAACAAACAATGCAGGCATTCCTGGCACTAAAATAACATTTCCCCTGTTCAGGCTTTACATATGAATTCCATTTTGATTTTTTATTCACATAAAAAAACAGATTTACTGTTATGCAATATTGTAATAATGATATAATTTTTTTTTTTTTTTTCAACAAGTCGGTCGTCTCCCACCGAGGCAGGGTGACTCAAAAAAGAAAGAAAATCCCCAAAAAGAAAATACTTTCATCATCATTCAACACTTTCACCAAACTCACACATTATCACTGCTTTTGCAGAGGTGCTCAGAATACAACAGTTTAGAAGCATATACGTATAAAGATACACAACATATCCCTCCAAACTGCCAATATCCCAAACCACTCCTTTAAAGTGCAGGCATTGTACTTCCCATTTCCAGGACTCAAGTCCGACTATATGAAAATAACCGGTTTCCCTGAATCCCTTCACTAAATATTACCCTGCTCACACTCCAACAGATCGTCAGGTCCCAAGTATCATTCGTCTCCATTCACTCCTATCTAACACGCTCATGCACGCTTGCTGGAAGTCCAAGCCCCTCGCCCACAAAACCTCCTTTACCCCCTCTTTCCAACCCTTTCGAGGATGACCTCTACCCCTCTTTCCTTCCCCTATAGATTTATATGCTTTCCATGTCATTCTACTTTGATCCATTCTCTCTAAATGACCAAACCACCTCAACAACCCCTCTTCTGCCCTCTGACTAATGCTTTTATTAACTCCACACCTTCTCCTAATTTCCACACTCCGAATTTTCTGCATAATATTTACACCACACATTGCCCTTAGACAGGACATCTCCACTGCCTCCAACCGTCTCCTCGCTGCTGCATTACCACCCAAGCTTCACATCCATATAAGAGTGTTGGTACTACTATACTTTCATACATTCCCTTCTTTGCCTCCATAGATAACGTTTTTTTGACTCCACATATACCTCAATGCACCACTCACCTTTTTTCCCTCATCAATTCTATGATTAACCTCATCCTTCATAAATCCATCCGCCGACACGTCAACTCCCAAGTATCTGAAAACATTCACTTCTTCCATACTCCTCCTCCCCAATTTGATATCCAATTTTTCTTTATCTAAATCATTTGATACCCTCATCACCTTACTCTTTTCTGTGTTCACTTTCAACTTTCTACCTTTACACACATTCTCAAACTCATCCACTAACCTTTGCAATTTTTCTTTAGAATCTCCCATAAGCACAGTATCATCAGCAAAAAGTAACTGTGTCAATTCCCATTTTGAATTTGATTCCCCATAATTTAATCCCACCCCTCTCCCGAACACCCTAGCATTTACTTCTTTTACAACCCCATCTATAAATATATTAAACAACCATGGTGACATTACACATCCCTGTCTAAGACCTACTTTTACCGGGAAGTATTCTCCCTCTCTTCTACACACCCTAACCTGAGCCTCACTATCCTCATAAAAGCTCTTTACAGCATTTAGTAACTTACCACCTATTCCATAAACTTGCAACATCTGCCACATTGCTCCTCTATCCACTCTATCATATGCCTTTTCTAAATCCATAAATGCAATAAAAACTTCCCTACCTTTATCTAAATACTGTTCACATATATGTTTCAATGTAAACACTTGATCTACACATCCCCTACCCACTCTGAAGCCTCCTTGCTCATCCGCAATTCTACATTCTGTCTTACCTCTAATTCTTTCAATTATAACCCTACCGTATACTTTTCCTGGTATACTCAGTAAACTTATTCCTCTATAATTTTTACAATCTCTTTTGTCCCCTTTCCCTTTATATAAAGGGACTATACATGCTCTCCGCCAATCCCTAGGTACCTTCCCCTCTTTCATACATTTATTAAACAAAAGTACCAACCACTCCAACACTATATCCCCCCCTGCTTTTAACATTTCTGTCATGATCCCATCAGTTCCAGCTGCTTTACCCCCTTTCATTCTACGTAATGCCTCACGTACCTCCACCACACTTACATTCTGCTCTTGTTCACTCCTAAAAGATGGTATACCTCCCTGGCCAGTGCATGAAATTACCGCCTCCCTTTCTTCCTCAACATTTAAAAGTTCCTCAAAATATTCTTGCCATCTACCTAATACCTCCCTCTCCCCATCTACTAACTCCCCTACTCTGTTTTTAACGGACAAATCCATACTTTCCCTAGGCTTTCTTAACTTGTTTAACTCACTCCAAAATTTTTTCTTATTTTCATTAAAATTTCTTGACAGTGCCTCTCCCACTCTTTCATCTGCTCTCCTTTTGCACTCTCTCACCACTCTCTTCACCTTTCTTTTACTCTCCATATACTCTACTCTTCTTATAACACTTCTGCTTTGTAAAAACCTCTCGTAAGCTACCTTTGATATAAATAATATATTTTTTTTTTTTTTCAACAAGTCGGTCGTCTCCCACCGAGGCAGGGTGACCCAAAAAAAAGAAAGAAAATCCCCAAAAAGAAAATACTTTCATCATCATTCAACACTTTCACCACACTCACACATTATCACTGCTTTTGCAGAGGTGCTCAGAATACAACAGTTTAGAAGCATATACGTATAGAGATACACAACATATCCCTCCAAACTGCCAATATCCCAAACCCCTCCTTTAAAGTGCAGGCATTGTACTTCCCATTTCCAGGACTCAAGTCCGACTATATGAAAATAACCGGTTTCCCTGAATCCCTTCACTAAATATTACCCTGCTCACACTCCAACAGATCGTCAGGTCCCAAGTATCATTCGTCTCCATTCACTCCTATCTAACACGCTCATGCACGCTTGCTGGAAGTCCAAGCCCCTCACCCACAAAACCTCCTTTACCCCCTCTTTCCAACCCTTTCGAGGACGACCCCTACCCCTCTTTCCTTCCCCTATAGATTTATATGCTTTCCATGTCATTCTACTTTGATCCATTCTCTCTAAATGACCAAACCACCTCAACAACCCCTCTTCTGCCCTCTGACTAATGCTTTTATTAACTCCACACCTTCTCCTAATTTCCACACTCCGAATTTTCTGCATAATATTTACACCACACATTGCCCTTAGACAGGACATCTCCACTGCCTCCAACCGTCTCCTCGCTGCTGCATTTACCACCCAAGCTTCACATCCATATAAGAGTGTTGGTACTACTATACTTTCATACATTCCCTTCTTTGCCTCCATAGATAACGTTTTTTGACTCCACATATACCTCAACGCACCACTCGCCTTTTTTTCCCTCATCAATTCTATGATTAACCTCATCCTTCATAAATCCATCCGCCGACACGTCAACTCCCAAGTATCTGAAAACATTCACTTCTTCCATACTCCTCCTCCCCAATTTGATATCCAATTTTTCTTTATCTAAATCATTTGATACCCTCATCACCTTACTCTTTTCTATGTTCACTTTCAACTTTCTACCTTTACACACATTCTCAAACTCATCCACTAACCTTTGCAATTTTTCTTTAGAATCTCCCATAAGCACAGTATCATCAGCAAAAAGTAACTGTGTCAATTCCCATTTTGAATTTGATTCCCTATAATTTAATCCCACCCCTCTCCCGAACACCCTAGCATTTACTTCTTTTACAACCCCATCTATAAATATATTAAACAACCATGGTGACATTACACATCCCTGTCTAAGACCTACTTTTACCGGGAAGTATTCTCCCTCTCTTCTACACACCCTAACCTGAGCCTCACTATCCTCATAAAAGCTCTTTACAGCATTTAGTAACTTACCACCTATTCCATATACTTGCAACATCTGCCACATTGCTCCTCTATCCACTCTATCATATGCCTTTTCTAAATCCATAAATGCAATAAAAACTTCCCTACCTTTATCTAAATACTGTTCACATATATGCTTCAATGTAAACACTTGATCTACACATCCCCTACCCACTCTGAAGCCTCCTTGCTCGTCCGCAATTCTACATTCTGTCTTACCTCTAATTCTTTCAATTATAACCCTACCGTATACTTTTCCTGGTATACTCAGTAAACTTATTCCTCTATAATTTTTACAATCTCTTTTGTCCCCTTTCCCTTTATATAAAGGGACTATACATGCTCTCCGCCAATCCCTAGGTACCTTCCCCTCTTTCATACATTTATTAAACAAAAGTACCAACCACTCCAACACTATATCCCCCCCTGCTTTTAACATTTCTGTCATGATCCCATCAGTTCCAGCTGCTTTACCCCCTTTCATTCTACGTAATGCCTCACGTACCTCCACCACACTTACATTCTGCTCTTCTTCACTCCTAAAGATGGTATACCTCCCTGGCCAGTGCATGAAATTACCGCCTCCCTTTCTTCCTTAACATTTAAAAGTTCCTCAAAATATTCTCTCCATCTACCTAATACCTCCCTCTCCCCATCTACTAACTCCCCTACTCTGTTTTTAACTG